GGCTTGCCCTTCAGCACCTGAGCATCTCATCTGTTTTAGAAGCACAATTAAATCTTTCAAATGGATCCACTGAGAACATCTGAAAAGAAAAAAGTGTCTCTATCAAATGTGCCCAAGTTCTCTGTATTGCCGTTCTCCCTAAAATACTATATACAAATTGCTTCTGTGGTCTCCAAGACATTAGAAACTACACATTCAAAGGAAGCAAAGGCTATTTTTAAAGCAAAGCTTAAAAATTTATGAATGGTGGAATAGCTTAAATTTTCTTCTCCCCTCCACGCCCCCACCCCAAAGGCCAGTCCACAACACTGAGGATCAAGTTGATATATTAGGCTCTTGCAATGCATTTTTGTCATTATTTCAGCAGCAGATCGGGGCAGGAACAGCTTTCTCCTAGCAGCAAATTGGCCACACATACCTTTGAGTCCCCTTCTCCCACATCACAACAGAAGCTCATTTCAATGAAAATGATGTCAGTCTCTCAGCAGAAAGCCACTGAAAGCTTATAGCAAGAGCGTGGAAGAACATCACTGAACTGATTCCATTAGTGTAATCTAAGAGAAAATAACGATTTACCAGACTCGGTGCTTGGAAACAGAAAACAGTCTGTGGCAGAGCAAAGAGAAACCTCAGATTTATAATCAACCCAAGAAGCATGGAAATGAGAAAGCTCTCAGCTCCCACAAATGAAAAAGAGTGAAGTGTTATGATAATGTCAACAAGGGGTTCTCAGAGATGTATAAAGTACCAGGAGGGAAGGAGATGAGAAGCTTCCTGGTGATGGCAGGGGAATGTCAACAGCTTCACCCAGGTGGGATGAGGAGAAGGATCACACTCAAGATGCTGTACCTGCAGACACAGCCTGCAACAGAAACAGGTGGGAAAAAACCCAAACCAAACACACAAAACCAACAAAAACCCCACCACACCCAACAAACCAACCCACAACCCAAACCCAAAGATCTGCTGAGCCCTATGTGAAATAAGAACACCAGCCAGGCCTCAGGCAAGCATCCAGAATACCCACAGCACATCTGGAGACGAGGCCTTGGAAGCTGCTGGCAGGCAGTGGCAGCAGGAGGGACCACCGAGGGTAGGGGTTGAAGAAGCCTCCCTGTCTGAAGAGGTCAGACAGTGGTGAGGAGGGTTTCATTAACCCTGAGGTGCTCAAGTTCCCTCAGCTCATTTCTCCAGGAATGTGGGTAATAGTGTATCACAAGAAAGGAGACCTCCAGTGTGTGTTAGCAAAGAGGTGTTGGAGAACAAGATCTCCCTGAAGTCCAAATTCTTGTGCAGCTACATATTGAACACCTGCTAAAAGCCTGAAAAAGTCTGGAGGGGCAGTGAGGGGAGCAGGGTGACAGCATAAGTGCAAGTGATGAGCTATTCAACTGTGAAAACATCTGCAAAATGACCAAAAACTAAAGGCAGTCTGGAGCAAGAAGAAGAAAATTCCACAATGGAGCAGTGTTCTACTATTTGGTTGCCTTTCCTCTCCCTCTACCCTGCCTTTAATTTAAGAAGCAGACAAAGACAAAGCAAAATCCACTTGGAATCCATCCTGCATCTTACCTGCCAAGGCCTCTCTTCCAGCCTCGAGCAATTGTTTTTCACACGTTGCACAAATACCATCCAGGGTCTGAACTGCTCTTTGTCAGATTTGCCAGGCAGTACCTGGGTGAGACAGACCCTTCTCCAGGTGCCACTTGTGCTGGGACCTCACCTGCTCGCTATGGTCTGAGAACGGAGGTGAACTCCCACTGCCCAAAATATCCTGGGAGCTCTTGGCTTGTCACCTACAGCCTGTACACACCTGGGCAACAAGCCTAACGCAGCCTGTGCCAGACATTTGGCAACTCCAAGGTGCTTAAACGTTTTAAAACTAACTCCGCAGCACCAAAGGCAGGAGAGATGCAACCTTCCTAGTTAGTACTCAGACCACACACTGGCTGCTGTACCTCTGGAAAACACAGAAGATCACAATCATTATCCACGCTTATGAATAAAATAATCCTTTTATTTTAGTAAGGTAACAAAGCTTATTTACAGATACAATAACTGTACATTCCAATGGAAAAATAGATCGTGCTCAAAATCGTTAAAGCAAGTCACACACAGTCTGTGAGGAACACAAACAACCTCAAACCTCCCAACGCCTTCGGCTCTCGTCTTCTCTCAGGAAATCAGCTCATCTTGTTCTGAATGATTTTCTGCTGATTCTCAAGACATTCCTTCAGCTTGTCTTCAGTGAGTGTCAGCCTCTGCTCTAGGATAGAAACCGTCTGCAAAACAAAACAAAAGCCGCTGTTGAGCTGCTCTCCAAGACAAGCTACGTACTCTCAATGGGTAATAAAATGCTAAATTCACAGGAGTATTTTGAGGTATTCCAGGGCTGTAACTCCAGTATCAGCATTTTAGCAGGGCAGAGCCCCTCACAACTTCAGAGATGAGCAACAGAGGCTGGCAGGCACAAAGCTCTCCTGCAGACAACACCAAGCACCCATTTTGGCACTCGGTGTTTTCAAATTGGGCTCTGCATTTCTCTTCATGGACAGGTTTTGTCCTTACATGCTCATGAGCTCCCAGACACCAGAGAGCCACCAGCCATGTTTCTGGTAACGAGAAACAGAGGTTTTGAATGGTTTTTCCCCAGTTTGAGCTTTGATTTTGCCTTTCTGCTTCTGACTCTCCTCCCTTCCCTGAATTCTGCAATTTTGTTTGCTGCAATTAAAACACACAAAGCTTGCTGGACAAGCACAATGACAAGCAAGAAAACCCTCTCATCATAAGGCAGTACAACAGGCAATGGAGGGGAACTGAAACCCACAGTGGCAGCACCTACCTCAACATAATGCCTAAATATATTTGTGTCATCTGATTACCCCACAAAGGATTGTCAGATCTTTCTCCTTGAGCTGAAGTCATCATGTACAGGATGCACAAGAAGAACATTTTAACCATGTGGCGATAAAAGCTTCTGCTGAAAACCTTTTATTGATCACTCTGAGGTAATCAAGGGACCAAGCTATGCAGAACTGCTTTCAGCTTCCAAAGACACCGGAATGGCTGATAATAGGCAGTGATGATTTAATGCTTTAATATCCATAAACTTATCAGCAACAATCAATAGCTTCACATTTTGAGCATTTTTACTACATAAATAACATCCTCTGTTAAAAACAAAGGATTTTCAGAACCTTGGACTTTAATAAAGTAATTCAAATAAACTTGGACAACCGCTGTTTGTATAGAAGTTATACATAGAAAGCCTTTTAATAGCACATTTGTAAGCACATCTCCGAGTGCCTGACAAAAGAAAGCAGGTCTCATTATCCCCATTTTACAGCTGGGGAAACGAAAGCACAAAGAAAGGAAATAGCTTGGCTAAGGCCACTTGAGACTAGAAGTCTCCTGTAAAATGATTTGGGGAATGAGATGAGTGGTGGTGGGGGCAGAGAAAAGAGATGTAGTAAAAACAACACCAAGCACTATGGCAAAGACATCTAGCAAGACTGTGTATCAACAAAGTCAGAAGGGGCTGTGCATCGCAGCATTTACCACAACGCACCCTTTTTTCCTCCCCAAACATAGTTCAAAGCTTATCTCTACCGTACCTGTACCGCTGACCTGTGACCAGGCAGAGGAGCTAACTTCTGCTGCCTAACGCAGCATCCCCATAGAAAGCTTCACCTGAAAAAAAACACCCTGCATTGCTTAAATATTCCCCTGGGCTACAGTGCTAGCTTCATTTAAGTTTTTTCCTCCTCTATTGCCACCCCTCTGAGGCACAAGACCTGCAGCACACAGAGAACCAGAAGAAAAGTTGTAGAGCCAGCACGTAATATTCCAGGTGCTCCAGAGCCAGCAGGAGCCCTCCTGTCTATTCAAAGGGGAGAGGATTTCATCTCTTTCATACCCAGCCATGCTATTGCCTAGTGGCTGTCTCACAGGGGTCAGGAATAAAGCTGCTCAGGGCAGAACACAGCAGGCTGAATGTCTACCAGGGGTTTACAGCAAAGATCTTACCCTGCAAGCAACCAGACAGAGAATGAAAAGCAATAAGGATCCTGGCTTTTCCAGTTAAAAAAAGAACTAGTAAACTCAAGAGTCTGTTAAAAAAGCAGGAGTGAAACAGTGCATCAAGTTTCCTTTAGAAAGATAACCAACTGAATTCATGTCCTGGTCACACTACCCCACTAGAAGCAAAGTCCCAGATTACTTGTGGTTCCTGCACCCCATGATTTAATGCCACCACTGTCCTGCCAATACGAGCTCAGTGCTGTTACAGCACCGCGAGACTAAGCGCAAACAAAGTGGATTTCAGAAAGTGTTGAATTTGTGAAAAAGCTGCAAGGAAAATGTTTATTGGCATGGAAATTGCACGTAAGTATAAGCAGAAAGTTCGTAGCAAGTATTTTTTGGAAACTAGAAGTGGAAAAGTAGCAGTCAGAAATGAAATCCAGGAAGTCCAAAGTAGGAATTGATGACTACAGTCCATTTAGACTTGAATATATGACGCCTGAAACACAGAGGGCACCTGACATCCTAGGAAGGTAAGGGAAAGTGCAAATACTGCCCAGCTGCTATTACTGCTGTGTTGTAACCTACACATAAAAGTTCCTTTATGAGCAGCTGACAGAGTTTTATGTGATTTCCATGTTGCTATTTATAAAGCAAGTCCTTCTTGGTAGGTAAATTAAACTGCACCCCTTCAATCGCTGCCAGTTTTTGCTATTGCTTTTCAGAAGATAACGAACCAACAACTAAGCCAAGGAGGAGAACACCGTCAGCCAGGCTCAGCCAGGGTTCACTGGAGCCAGTGAACACTCAAGCCCATTCTCTGTGGCAGGATTCAGGCTTCCTGAATGTCAGGAGCACAGTACACGTCTCCATTACGCACCAGGGAGTTAAACGCTGGATAATTTATTAAAGTCTTGGCTCAAACTGGCAGAAGAATAACAGTTTGGGCTTAAATGAGAAAAAAAAAGATCAACCTATTTATTTTTTTAAGGAGTATTTCTGCTGGATAATTTATTAAAGTCTTGGCTGAAACTGGCAGAAGAAAAACAGTTTGGGCTTAAATGAGAAAAAAAAAATCAACCTATTTATTTTTTTAAGGAGTATTTCTGACATTACAGTAATATACTGAGCATTACTATGGACACCAGAGCAGAAAAATGAGATTTTTCCACACAAAAGAAAACTTACTTAAATCACTTCTACCAACACTTCCTACAGCATTTGTCTTCATTCACCTCCACAGACTTAGCTTAGAAAAAAACCTGCTCTTCTCTTTGAAAACATTAATGAGAAACTATGTAGGAAAAAAAAAAAAAGTTGAATCCTATTTACTTTTAAATTCTGGGGAATATTCAGCTCCATTCTCCCCCAGGACACCTAAACTGAAGAATTCAAGTCATCACACTTGCTTACCTGATGCCAAGTCCCCTATGATATTCCTTCATGTTACTTTTACTCCCTCAATCCAAAGAATAATAGTGACTTGTGATGCTGTTCCAATCGCCAGCCCTGCAACAGTTCCAGCTTTCACCAGCATCCATGTTAAACATTTCCCTGCCTGATTAAGTAGCAGAGGCAGTTTAAGAACCACTAGCCTCAGGGTTGAGGCTTTTGCAGGGCCCTGGAGGGGCCATCAGCCCTGCTTCTTTGGAGGACTACAGATAAGAGAAACCAGGTGCCAACCAAATGCCAACAGAAACCAGTTCCACAACTGCCAAAGGAAACCTGAACAGCAGAGTCCAGAGCAAGCAAAGGCCTCAACAACCCTCTGAGCAACGGTGGGAGCCCCTGCAGTAACCAGGAGAGATCCCCCTCGGTAGATGGTTGCTCATGAACCAAAGCAGTACTTAACCTGGAGCTGGGGACAAAGCAGGCAAGAGCATGGGAACGATGGGCTCACCCTGCTCAGGGATGGCTGCCCTGTGAGCAGAGAGGAACGATGGGCTCACCCTGCTCAGGGATGGCTGCCCTGCGAGCAGAGAGGAACGATGGGCTCACCCTGCTCAGGGATGGCTGCCCTATGGGCTCAGAGGAACGATGGGCTCACCCTGCTCAGGGATGGCTGCCCTGCGAGCAGAGAGGAACGATGGGCTCACCCTGCTCAGGGATGGCTGCCCTGTGAGCAGAGAGGAACGATGGGCTCACCCTGCTCAGGGATGGCTGCCCTGCGAGCAGAGAGGAACGATGGGCTCACCCTGCTCAGGGATGGCTGCCCTGCGAGCAGAGAGGTGCAGCTCCTGCCCTGCAAGCAGCACACGGGTGCTTCAATATGCCACTCACACCAGCTCTGATCCAGGTGGCACACACGATAGCATGGGGGACATCACACCGCTCCATTTCATCACTAAAAACAACATGTATTGATACAACAGTTACTCACATCAGGTAACAACAGCTCTGCTGAGCCTTCAAGGGATACAATCCTGCACACTGACTGCAGAGTAGATGTGCTCTTGGTTTCTCTTTTGCAGGCAAAGTATTACACTTCCATTTCTATTCTACTGGGGAAGAATGGCTGGAGAGCTGCCCAACAGGAAGAGATCTGGGAGTGTTGGTCAACAGTCAGCTGAACATGAGCCAGCAGTGTGCCTAGGTGGCCAAGAAGGCAAATGGCATCCTGGCCTGTATCAGAAACAGTGTGGTCAGGAAGAGTAGGGAAGTGATCATCCCCCATACTCAGCATCTTTCTTCTTGACTTGGAACTACTTGAAGTCAAAAACATTTATTTCACCAAACCAGTTGCTTAATCTACATTCAATACCTCTCAGAAGAGAGGAGCCATTCATTCCTTACCAACAGAGGCTTTGGAGATCACATCTCAAAAAACCCAAAAGGAGTAACAAATTTGATTTTACTCATTTTCGTTATAAGCATTGCACACACAAACACCTTCAGTTTCAATTAAAAAGTAACCCACTTGTCCAAGTCCTTTTTTATGCTAAAAATTTCACTAAAAGTTTTCCTCCCTTCCTCTGCAATCTCTTCTGGAGTGAAATAATCCTTTAATCTCACATGAGCTAGACTGTCCTTCAGTTCAGGCTTGGATTATTTTACTGATTTAACAAGTCTTCTCCATTTCACTGTATTGTTTTCTCTCAGCTTCAATACAAGATTAGTTTGAGGAAACACATAAAGCTGGTTCCTTTGGGTGGATTATCACAGCTATTTATGAATTTTTATGCTAACCTGATTCTGAACTCTTCGTTTGGAGCAGACATCTTCCTTCCCACATAAAACCAGTAGCTATTGCCTCAGAGCCCACTGCCCACCAGTGCTACAGAGTGAATGCAGCAGCTGCAGGTGTTTGCAGTGAGGGTAAGAGTATACAAACTCTCTGAAGATGATCACTGCAAATGCAAGTTTTCCACTTTCCAAGCCAAGACAGTGACTCACAGATTACCTTCTTTCAGAAGTGCAGTTCAGCTGCAAGTGCAGAAAATGCATTTGAACCAAGTAAACTCTTCATATCTGCTCCGTTTTGGTTTTAGCCAAAATACACTTTTCTGTTCCAGGAAGTTAACCAAGAGATAAAATCACCTTGTTTTTCCCCTAAACTTTAATATTCAGCCCACCCCTTGATAAAGGCACTGAGATACTGAGATCCAGCCTTCAACTGAAAACAATAATTTATAAACATTTTGCATTTTCCTCTTTTTCGCATCTCTGAAATGCCAGTAAAGAAGAGGACTTTTAAACACTGAGAAGATACTCACTTGCAGGAAAGGGAAGAGCAAAGCATCTATATCACACATTGATTACTCTCAGCTTCCTCATTCCTTTGCCAAATTTGAATTGCCTGCTTTCCTACAAAGGGGGCACCATCTTTAAGTAATCCAAAACTACTGGAAACAACTGGTTTATGCCTAGGTCTCAACTTCACTCCATCCTTCAAGGCAAGGATTATTAAGCATGTGATACTCTTCTGAAAAAGGCAGTCAAACATTCATTTCTTTATTTGCACACGAAGTATGGCCAAATACAAATCACGTTTAGAAAAAAATATGAAGACCCTGTCAGGTCACATTGGAACATTAGACCACTTTCTTACAAGTAAAACAAAAGAAGTTCTGGTGAGGAAGAATGGAAGAAGGTTTCACTGAATAAAGACCAGTTAATCAAAGATTAGTTTAAAGAAAGTTGCCAAAACCTTAAAGAATAAAATCATAGCACAAAGTCAACAACATTAAAATGAAGCTTTGTAAATCTGAGTGGGCTGTATTTATTTGCTCTAGCAGTTACTGATAGACATGCTATACAACAGCCACTACTTTCTCCTGATCCATCCTTCTCTAATAAGAACTCAAGTGCCTAACTGAAGGAGCAAGGCTGCTCAAGTGTATCTTGCTGCACAGGGCACGACACCCCTACAGCCTCAGCGCTTCTACTTGCGATTGGTATCTGGCAGGAAGAGACCTCTTAATGGAATAAAAACAATCCCGCTGTCTCCAAGTACATGACACCCCACTTCATCTGGAAATCTGTTGTCAACAGAGGGAAGGTACTGATAATTGGTGAGCAGCAGACAACGCAGCTTCAAGTGCACAGCTCAGAACAAAGCTGTGCATTGGCAAGAGATGACAGCCTTCAGCTGATGTCTTACTATTACCTCTTTCAGCAGAAATTGAAAGTATTTTCTCTCCTTCCCACTTTTAAATGATACCAAGTTTAGCATGATAAACTTTGAAGTGATAGCTAAGGAAAAAATATTAGGAAAATAAATTAGTATCATATTTGCAGAATTTCCCAGAGTAGTTTATCACAACTTTAAGTTTTTCCCCCTCTGGTACATTACCTCATGTTAACACAGCGTTGGAAACTACGATGAGCACAAAGAGTGTAGGAACTCAAGGTACCACATTAGAAATACACTCAAGCTCCCATAGAGCTAACAAATTCCTGGAAAACCTGTGGATAACTATCAATAGAGGGTTTCTAGAAATATCATGAGGACTTTGTCCTCTCTCTCCAACTGTATTGCCCTGCCTGTGCCACCAGTGTTTTATTTAAACAAGCACCACTCAGGAATTATGAGCTGATGATTTATAACAGAACAGCAGTTTACTGGAAGATCCTCAGCCCTTCTTCAAGAAGGGAATAACACTGACACCTGTTAGGCATTGTTTAGGAAAGCTTTTTGTTCTGTTTTTAAAAGTGGTGTCCTCCTTTTACAAAAAAAAAAAAGTCTGCAAGCACAAAGTTGCCATGTAAAACACACACAACGTTGGTTTGCATCTGCTACACACAGGGAGGGAGCAGCACCCAGTTGTGCTTTGGCAGAAATGGTGAGGAAAGATGACCAAGCCAACATACCAGCCACTATTTCCATTTCACTCTGATCTCTGCTAGCAATCAGCACACCTTGGCTCCTTCCAGTCAACGTGTAATTGCACAAAAGAGGGACAACAGTGGCTCTGCCAGAGCTGCCTTCCCTGCTCTGTTACTGGCGATTGGCACTGGAAAAAAAGAGAAGTTTAGCTACGCAAGCAGATGTTCTCCAGAGCCACCTCCCACAGCGCTGCCTTGGTACCTGCCTGCATCCCTTCTCTCTGGAGAACCTCCTCCCTTACTCTAGGAACAAGGGCTTTATCCATGCTCATTTGCATAAGCTAGTTTGGTGTTGGTTTGTTTCACTCCTAAACATCAAAACCTTGGCAGGAAAATGAAGAATTATGAAATCATTTCAACAGTGTGGCAGGTTCGTCTACTTGTATAAATGCATTTAAATGGTGTTAATACAACATACAGCATACAAAGATTAGAACCAATGGGAAATTAAGTGCTTTAAGAATGGCAAAAAAGCTACAAAAAAGGTAAAAGGTTGCTGAACACAGTTACTCAAGGCAGCTTTTTGGCTTTTTACTATAATTTCAGGTCTACTTCCAATTTTATCCTATAACCTACTAATTTATTCCTCCCTCGCTGATCTCAATTTCTCTTTCTGCTAGGTTTAAAACAGCATTTGGAATTTTTTACGGTTACACAATATCTTCAAGAGAGATGTTTGTATTGCTTATATCTGGTTTAAATCCCACACATACTGTTTACTGCAATATTTGCCTCCTCTAAACACCTATGAAGTTGAAAAGGAGCCATTACACATCCATCATCAGAAGTGGGGATCTGATTTATGTAATGAAAGATAAAGATCACATTCCAGACTTACTAGGGAGACACAAAAATTGGTAATAAAATATTTTGTGTATATATTGGGTTGCATTTTACTCACAAGCATGAGGGCCCTATGGTGTACAAAATTTCCCACCCAGTGTTCAGCATTTCAGAGATCACAGGAGAAAGTGCTTTCTTGCATTTTTGCCAAACAAACTTAAATACCTTTCAGTTTTCATCCTACACTATTTTAGGCTGTCTGTAGTGCTGGAATGTTTTTTATCCTTAAATCAGCCCTACTTCAAACCCTCATGTGCCTTTCAACCCATCATCTTATACTTTTTGACAAGCACTTCTCAAGAGCAGAGAGCTAACTTGGGCTAGTAGTCAGTATGTTCAATACCCAGTGTTCAGGACCTGCTTGTTCTTCCCCAGAAACAACACTCAAGCTCACAGAACACTCCTACACAGATTTATTTATTTTTTTTAAATCTTACAACCATAGTCACATCTACAGGAGACCACCACTGTTTACTGACCCATGCTTTCTCCCTGCTTCTCACATACCTTAAAAACACACAATTAAATTCAGCTCCAGGCAATGATCAGAAATGATATTTTTTAACACGAGCAACGAGCAGCTGTTTAGGTAAACAAGAAACAGCTCAATCCAAGCTCTTATTAGGTAAACACGTACTGTGATGGATCACCACTGATGGCTGGCACTGCTCGAGCATTGCTCAGTGACTCTGAGGAAGAACTGTATGTTAATACCTTAGCAAGGGATTAGTTGTGTGCTAGCAGTGGGTGAGAAGCATGTTTCAGAGATGAGGCACAGAAGGGCCCAGACTTGTTGATGGGAGGACAATACTGCAGAAATTGGACTGTGTAGGTGAATTGGACTGTGTTGGGTGGGGGAAAGGAGTGGGATCTGAACAAAGTTTACCTACAGACTGCAGCATAATGAGGGAGGGAAGAGGGATTATTCACCAAATCAGAGTCCAAATGCCAACTGCTCCTTCAGGCATTACCTTAGACAAACCCTGGTTAACAGCAGAGGGTACCAGAGCTGGCTGAAGTAGTCCTCTGCTACACTGCAACATAAAGGAATTAAGGGAAAAGCAGGGTCTGAACTGGAAGCCCACGTGAAGGAACTGATAGAGATAAGCTGGCAAGCAGTTTAAGATAGATTTATAAAGAAAAATAATACTAAAAACTAGATGTTTTGAACTAGCCACACTTTTATTCTATGAAACTATTGCAAAATATTCCCAACTCTTACAGTCAGAAGTACCTTTTTCATTACAACATTAAAGAGTGAACCATACCTGAGTCAGAACATCCAGCTGTCCCATAATATGTTCCAAGGTATTTGCAAGACTGTTCTCCTCCACTTGCTGCTCGTGGTTCCTACCAGACTCCTGAGTTTTTGTTTTCTTAAGATGAACACCACAATCCATTTCTGATTGCTAGAAAAATAAAGAGACAATCTGCTATTGTGATGCAAACAACTGAAGGATTTCTGTTTCATGGAGAGTAAAGAGTAAAGAACAGTTTATGTTGGGACAGCCTATGCTATTAAAAAAGGGCAAAAGAGAAAAGGAATTGTTTGTTCTTGCCACAGCTGTAAAAGGAAAAGCTGCTGCAGACTTGTCTGCCTTCACCAGGCAGAGAGGCATTTTTTGGTAGTTTTCTGAGAAGGTTGTTTGGTTTGGTTTTTGTGCATGTGTTTTTTGTTTGTTTTTAAACCTTCATCAGAAAAAGCAAACTTTAGATAACAAGCCTGAAGCAAACCTGCAAGGTTCAAATTTCGTATGTGCAAAGGGCTTTGGCATGGTCATGCAGTACAGACTGTACAGGTAAATGAAAACTTACTGGAGCCACATGGAAGCACTACATCCAAATTATAAGAATTAAGTAAACTATCCCCAAGAGGAGTCCAATTATTTCACTCCAACAGTGCAGTAAAAGCCTCTCTCCGTGTTCAGCAAAAGCAAGATGTTCCAATATGCATTAAAACATAAATAAAAGAAGAAACAAAATTTAAATTACTAAATCTAAACTATCTAGAACTGGTTTTCCCTCCTCAATGATGTCAAGAACAAGTTTACTTTGAAGTTTCTATTTTAACTATTTTACTTATGCAAGCTTGACTATTTCATTCAGATAGATTTTTAAAAGCACAAATAGATCTTTATTAGAGAGCTTATTTTTTTCCTCCTCTTTCAAAATGTTATCTTTCTTCTAGAACAAATACTATTTGCATTATTTATCAGCAGAAGCAGTTCAGAGAAGTTTATCTAACAAGGTAGCCAACCTATTAAGCAATTGAAGACTTAAGTTTCTCCATTTACACTAGCAGACAAAGTTTTAATCTAAAGCCGAGATCACAGCACTCCAAACAGAGTCCTCCATAGTCCGATGTCTGTGGAAAGCTCCATCCCATGCACTTACTACTCACACAAATGACCAAAGTCTGCAAATCAAAGCAGCGAGGAATTCTGACAGACTGAAAAATGGTCTGTAGTTCTCCCACACACACTTTTCTAAGCATGAAATGAAGAGTTGCTTCCATTTCTTCTCTCATAGGCACTACTACAAATGCATTTCTCATCAGCACTGTACTGATTCACCTGCTCATCTCTATATTTGATATAGGTGTGCAACTAAGCTGCAGTGAGACCTTAGACCAGCTCACGTAACTCTAAATCCAAAATTGTTCAGTGTATTATGAAGATATATACACACACATGTGTAGACACACACAGAAATTTGTTAGGTCTTTTTTAATCTGTGCTGCTGAGAGTCACTGGTTTAGGCCATGGAAAGGCTCCCAAGGCTGAGGTCCAGCTCAATAGTTAGACAGAATAAGCAATAAGTAGTGTAAAGAACAGAAACTCAAGTACATAGAAAGTGGGGTAGCACAGGAAGGAAGAAGGAGGCTGCAGAAACACTAAGTTTTGACAGGAAAATGCTTGCTACTGTCCACCAACTGTTGGTAACATCCAACTGTTCCTCCAGACCCTGCCAACCAAACTCTCCTCATACAGCCAAGCGTCACAAGAACAGTTTTCCATAGGAACAGGAAAAGTTTGAAGGATACATATAACAACTGCTCCACAGGCATCACCATGCTACCCCACAGGCTTGGGATGCAGCTGGCTATCAGATGGGACCAGCCACACCAGCCTCTGCTAATTTGCTGCCTCCCACTTGTCTGGTTAATTTGAATTATCTACAGGCCGTAGGCCAGCACAGCCCATGCTCTGGGTCACACTGCACAGCCTCGGCACAGGAGCCACGCTCAAACTACTCCTGTGCTGCAGGGAGCCCAAGAGCCACATGTTGCTCACCAATGCATTGATTTAATCAACTAAAATATGCTCTTGCAGAGATGAGATAAAGCCAGCCTCACAAAGCTGCTGTTTGCTGTTTAAATTTAAAAGTAAAAATGAAAAACTCAAAACATTGCTTTCCAATGGGCAATTAACACTAAAAAAGCATGCTTACTTCTTATTTTAAGCCTGACTATCCTATTTTGATGGTGTAACTTTAGGCCAGTCAATGGTGGTACAGCAGAAATTTGAGTGAGCTAACACTGCATACAACCTGCACTTAAAAACCCCAAATGATGATGAGCTATCCACTTCAAAACCCATTAGAACAAGCTGACTCACAGAAGCAGAAAAATGACTGTACCAACATATTTTCTCTCGCTATCTTTGTAGCATATGTCAGACAGCTTTTCATAAAAAGCTGTTGGGTTGAACTCAGAGTTTACACTCTCTTTGTTACAGCCCACAAAGTTTAAGAGTCTGGCATATCTGCAAGGGCAATACCACATAGATGTTCCCAGACCTGATGTTTCAGGGGTCAGGTGGTCCCTCATCACACCAAGTTGAAGCCAGAGGCAGCAGCAGCTGTTTGCCACAGATCCTACATTCTGCTCATCAGCTCAGAGGCTACATATTACCCCCATGAAAAGCCAAGCAAGCCACCTCCACAAAGCCCATGCAGGCTCCTCAAGGCACTCTGAATGGTGGCACCATTCCCAAGAACAGAAGTATATCTACATTTAAAAACAGAAGCATGACAATATGGCATACTGCCCCATTTCAAACACTACAGCTGCTGAAGGGTTCCTTACAGCCCATCATCATCAAGAGAATAACCTGTAGCTAGTGCCTTCAGCAATGAAGTTCTGAGTTAGTTCATCTGTCTGAAACAGGGACACATCCAGCCAGCAAATACAAACTATCAACATGTTATGGAACGTGACTTCTAAAAGGGAGGCTTTCAACTGACCAAGGTCTTTGAATATTCAGTTCTAGGAACAAGCAGATCCTACCAAGCCTACCCTGCCACAGCAGGTGTGAAAAACAAGTATCCAACACCCACACCTACAGACAGCACTTTGAATCACTGCCCACAGTCAGGCAGAGAAACTGAAGTCAGTTTGCTCTAGCTTCTTACTCATCCCACCTGCTCTGATGGCATCAAACGGCAATCTGAAGTCCAGGACCCATCCAAGCAGGCTTCTCTCAAAGAGGGGCCCTATAGACAGCATCCAACAAGGGTTAAGCCTGGATTTGCCCAACACAGGCATGTCCAGCACAAGGTGGAGCTCAGTGGAAGTGCCTGCGAACTCTCAGCTAGACACACATGGAAACGCTGCAAGCTGTAAATGCAGCCCATGATGTACAAAACAGCAGGAGGACATCAGCAAAGGATCAGCTGATGGCCAACCTGGCCAAGGTGGACATGCATGCTGCTGCACCTCACAAAGGCACAGCACTTTCCTTTTCACAGGATAAAGCAGAACATTTGCATCCATCCAAATCAGATTCACTGGACTAATTTCAACTCACATTTTTGACGAAGCCGAGAAGCCCGAGAAGGTATGCTCCTATTGACACTACTCAAAGCATGTTCCTCTGCTACCAGCTAACAGAGGGGAACAGCAATACCATGGCCTTCCTACCATGGCATCAAGGAGAAAAACAGGTTGTTGTTGGTTTGGGGTTTTTTGGTCGGGTTTTTTGTTTGTTTTGTTGGGGTTTTTTTTTAAGTCGAGGAAAGCTTTGTCCGCTAAGAAAACATAACTGGGAGTTCACATGGTCAATGCTGGGACATTTTGTTTGACATTAACTTTAGAAAACTGGCAAACATTTTGATGAGCTCAAACACACTCTTCATTAAAAAAAAAAAATGGCAAGAGACTGAAATGCTCAGAGGGGCAGGTTGTCTGCCACAAGCACCCACCTAGATTTCTGTCTTAGTTCAAATACAGCAGGGACACCAGTTGCAGCTGCATTATAAAGGCAGTGAGGCCACCTCTACTGAAATGCTAGTACAGCTTCCAGATTTGACAGTGGTAAGAATCATGGTGGGCTTCTTCAGGGAAAGTTTTGCCCTTTAAATTTTAACAAAAAGAGGGAAACGTTTGGAAACTTTCCCTTAACAGCCAGACTCCAACTCACACTTACCGTTACCCTAATGGCCAGTACATTTGAAAGGAAACCTGCACCCATTTCCTCTCCCCAGAGGGAGAACTGAATTACCCCCAGATTAAAACTTTTCCAAATTTTGTAAAAGAAGATTAAATCATCCCTGCTACTCTTCATAAGAATGATGAGGAAAACCCTCACAGACCAAACTACAGACACCCTTCAAACAGCAATCTGTATCACACGAGCCACTAGTGATTTAAATTCTAACAGATTTTTTAAAAACATTGCAAAAATACAGAAAGAATCCTGAAATATGCACTGGCTTCGTGAGCATCACTGATGAGCATCACTATTACAGAGAGACACACCTGTGCTCCCATCTGATTCACCTGCAAGGTAAAGTGCCAGCTGAATCCTGGGGACAGGCAGCAGAAAGAATGACACCACTGCAGAGTTTAATCTATTTTAGTCAGAGGTCAAGTGTGCCATTTATTCAGCACAACTGAACAAATGTATTTGCCATTAAATATCTTATTACCACATCTGCTTATTAAGCACTGGGAGTATAGAGAGCAGCAGCTGAACATTAAAGGAAGAATAGATGAGCGGTTTCAGAATACAATACAGCTCTCGGTGACAAAGGGAAAACAGAAGTGATTTATTTATAGCAACCACTTAAAGACAGCACAGTGCAACTACTTGGGGGAAGGGGAAAATTAATCAGCCTTCATTCCAGAGGTCTCTTACTGAGTCTCTTATGAAAATTCTTCTGGCTAAACAGCATTCTGGCCAGCTATTATAGTGCTGATCAGGGGGTGGGGGACAAGCATTAACTACACGACACATGTACAGCTGTAGTAAAACTGCAAGGGACAACTGAGGAAAAATAAATGCAATTTTGCTTTCTAAATGGCAATATTTAGAATATATTTTGACAGGATAACTACCTGCCTGAATTTTACACCTGCTAATAAAAAGTAGGATTCTTATCATTCAATCCAGAGGAAATACTTATTTTC